TTCTTGGCTCAATTCAGGTTAAAAAATGATGTTTGATTCTAGTTACCCCACCAGAGCAGTACAGGTCCCTTTAAAAGATACCAGTGAGTGGGAACACATGAGAATCTTGTGAACTTGATTTGGAAAAGAAACAGCTCCTATCTCTTTAATACCTGGCAAAGCTTTATAAAAAACAAATCTGTTTTTCCTTTTAGCCTATGGAAGGAGGTCGGTCACCAATCCTATTTTCTTCACCTCCCCTGCCCCCATTGGACATGAATAATGCCATTTAACTAATTAAACTAGACTTGCCCTCCCTTTAGATGCCAGTTTCCATTATGGTAACAGCTGTCAGTGAGGATTCTACTGATGGATGCTTCCTTGGGCAGGTCAGCACTGAGCCTGACTCCCGCTCTCCCCTTTCTGTCTCCTTTTCATTCTTTTTCCTTCCTGGCCTGTATTTTCTTCTTCCATTGGACTCTTATCTGACAGCTTTTGTTTCTTTTTCTTTTCTCGCTTCACCTTAAATTTATTCTTTGTCTTAGGGCCTTTAGTCTCTTCCTTCTAGGGGCCCCTTCCAGTCCCTACTCAGCCCCACCATTTCTCGCTCTCAGTCACTTTTCCTTTGGTCATCTTTTTGGAAGGTGAGTTAACTCTAACTTGTTGGAATGAATTTATAAATAAATGCAGCTTGCAAAACACTTTACATGAAATAAACAGTGGATCTAGTTCATACTGGATGGATAAAAAGGATCACTATTTGAAGGAATAGACAACTTTTTTGCCTAGTAAACATTTTTACATGATGGTGGTAAATACGATAGAGAACAATGGCCTGTGGGTTCCCAAGGGAGGGAAATAACTAACTCAATGCAAAGATGGAAAAGGGGGAGGGGGCGGACAATTCTCTTGAATTCGGCATTCACAATGACCGCTCTTAAAATACACTAACTCAATCCATACAACAACTTAAGAGCCAATGCAGTTACGCCAATGCAGTTACCATTTCAGAACCTATGCAAGATACACAGAGTCCTTTTTGGCAGATACAGAGATGTGCTGCTTCAGAAATGTCCCTTCAAAACTGGCTACCTATCTACAAGAAGCCTGGTTAGCTAACAGCCTCCGGCTGTCCCATCAGCCCCTGACCAACGACTGAGGCCCCTAGCTATTCCCATGGAACAGGGACTGGAATGAGTAGTTTTTGCTCTGGAAATCCCCTTTGGGCTGGCAGAGGCTTTGTCAGGTCTGCATCATGTGTGACATCTCTCCCTGCCGAGTCACACCTTTCCCCCCTTTTCCTTTTTGTAAGTGTTACTCCCTAATAAAACTTTTGGACTCCTAACTCTGTCTCAGCATCTGCTTCTTGGAAATTTCAACTTGTGTCACCTCTGAGAAGGCCTAGATCTACTGGCACATTTTCATCTCACAAATTCTTGCTCCTGGGACTCCGGTAACCATCCTTGGAACTCCTCAGTAAACCAAGCAACATCTGTCTCCTGATTTGCAAAACAGACTTCACTAGTGTTAGTCTCAATTAGACCCAACTTTGACTTCCCCTTACATGTCCTTGTCTTTTCTAAAGTTTAATAGGAGATTGACTAGCCCCAGTGGACATTTTGCCTTAGATCATAAAATGAAAGACTGAGTTAGGACAAAAACTTAACCAAAAAACCATTTAGCCAAAGAACTTTTGGTTAGTACTGTGGATGTTTCAGTAATCCATTGCTGTGTAACAAACTATCCCAAAACTAAGGGTCTTAATAACTATGTGTTTGCTTGTGATTCCATGGTTGTCTGGGCAGGCTTCAGCAAGGATGGCTTGTCTATATTCCATGTTGTTAAAAGCTAAATTCACTCTCACCGTATGGATTTGGGCTGGAGGATCAAAGATGGCCTTACTCACTTCTGGCCCCTCAGCTGAATGGCTGGAATGTTGGAGCTTCTCTCCTTATAGTCTTTCATCCTATAGAGCCTTTTGCCTTTCGAGGTCTTTCAATTTCTAGGATATCTCTCTCCTTTCTCTTTTCAGCTGGTTTGTCATTTAGGACTTCCACGAAGGCCTAGGTCTCTAAGAAGACAAAAGCAGACACTGCAAGGCCACTTAAGGCCTAGGTCTGAAACTCAATATCACTTCTGCCACAGTCTGATAGCCAAAGCTAGTCAGAAGCCCAGCTCAAATTAAAGAAGAGGGGAAATATGCTTTTCCTGTTAACAGTGGCAAAGTCACACTGCATAAGTGCATGTGGAATAGGAGCCATTGTTGGTGATAACTTTGGAAACAGTTTACCGCAACAGATATGAGGAATAAAAATGTAATCCATGCAGCACTCATTTCTGCTCACAACCAGGCTTACACTCTGTTTTGACTATTAAGAGATCTGGGTGAGATTCCCTCCTCTCTACACTGCTCAGGGTTGAATGCAGACTAACAGTGGCAGACAAAAAAGCACTGGCTTTCTTTTGAGCAGAAAACTGAGCATGAGTCTAGAAAGAATCTCTAAGCAGATCATGCTAAGTAGCCTTCCCGCGCTCCTAAAATTTGGCCATTTACTACTTTAATAATTTACCCAAAGTGAATGTGAAAGCAAAGACTTCAGACTTCTGGGAGCTGCCCTTGATTTGGATGATTTTCAGAAGTACCTATGCTATTTATAGGTCAGAGGAGACAATCCAGGCCTTAGGAATCCTGAATTCTACCAGAGACTAAATCTCTTCCACTAGAAAATCCTTCCTTTCCTAGACAAAAATGCTTATTCTGTTTAGGGGTTGACCTGCAGAATCCTGTCTTTAAGATGAGTCAATCTCCTTTATCTTCTGCAAGGCTATACCCAGAACTCTCTCCCCCAAGACTATTTAGTTTTAGAACTATATCATGTCTGTATATTTCATTTCTATATGTTAAGAACCTTGAAAGAAACAGTGATCTTATAACAAGAGAGGGATTCAAATTTGTGAACAATTAACTTTTTTTTTTTCAGAATTTTTATGAGTTTATTTAAGCCAAACTGATGAAATATGCCAGAGAGCAAGATCTCAAGTGTTCCCTGTGAACAATTAACTGTTAATTTAACAGTTCTATAATATAGCAATAATGGGGCTATTTTACTTTAGTAATAATATATATGTCTAAACTTAAAGCTACACAGGATACATTCCAAATGGAAGTACAAAAGCATCTCTTATTAACTTTCTTGAGGGAAGTTTCTAGAGCAAAGTTATTAAAGGAAGCAAAATCCCTTAAATAGAGCAGTCCCCTTGAGCAGTCTTCCATGATCTCACATCGGCCAACTTTCCCAAGAGTATTTCTGCTGAGGAAGATAGCATTTCTGCTTCTCAGTATGTGTAATACTGAAAATCAAATGTCCAGAGATGCTCATGTGAATGCATATTTATTTCCGTGTCTTCTACTTCTAGGTTCATATACAAAGTTACGCATCTCAACAGACAGTGTAAATTACCTACTAAGTAAATTAAATTCAGAAAATGAGATGGAAATGAATATTTTGATTACTAAATCTTTACCTAGCACATAGTAGTCACTCAATATTTGCTGAATAAATGGATGAAACTGCCACATCCTAATACACATACATCTTTCTTCTCAAAGCCCCCTTCTATTCACCTCTTCCTTTACATTACTATCCACAACCAGTTTCCAAGTTAATTAAAGGTCCTATCATCACTTAGTTACAATAGACTAACCATTTCTCTTTCTCCAAACTCCTCCCCATCTCAATCCAATTAGAACACCAGATCAATCTTAAAACACTCTCTATTCACAAACCCTAAATTATTCTGTGTTGTCCTCTGACTAAATTGCAAGCTCTTTACTCAGGTAATATACTTTTTGCAGTCTGGCCTCAAATATGGATATGTAAATAACTTTCCAAATCCTCAACTATAATTCTCCATGTTCTAGTGAACTAATCTGAGTTAGCAGGACACACATTATGCTTTCCTCATTCTGGTCTAGACCTTTGCTTTTGTCATGTCCTTGGCTTGGAATTCTCTCCTATAGCTTCACCTACTGAAGACGTAGCTGTCACTTCAAGCCTGAACCTTGATGTCACTGTCTTTCCAATGCCTTCCTGGGCCATCCGGGCTTAGAGTCCTCCACATCTTTGCAATCACATGTATTTTTCAGAACTTATGCTCATGCTGCCTTGTGTGTAAAGATGGTTCAATATTAATAAACCGGGTCTTAGCTCCTTCACCAGGCTAGAAACTCTGAAAACAGGAGCCATGCCTTTTCAAGCTTTTCTTTCAGGCAGTGTTTGGCGTCATGCAGACATTTGATAATTCGGTGGTTTCTAAATGCTCCCATTCAGAGGACCCCTTAAAAATAAAAACCTTTTGTATTTAAGTTTACTACACATAGAGACGTGCACATACCAAAATGTTTGGTTCAATTAATTCTCAAAAACGACATACTGATGCAACCAACATCCAGATATAAGAAACACAATGCAACTTGAAACCCTGAAGTACCCTTGTCTCCCCTTGTGAGGACTCTATTTGAATATATCACACATGATACTTGTAGATTTGATATAAGTAAGAAGAGTGAGAATATGTATTTGCAGACTCCTTACATCACTGATCCATCAGTCTTCCTTCTCTTTCAGAGAAGTTCCCCTCACCCCCAAATTGGGAACTAATGTAACAGCAATCTTTGTAATTGAATGCATGGAAACATACACCTATAACACCTTCAATGTAAAAAGGTATATATCAAACTGTTAAGAGGAATCCTTCATTTCAAATACCTGTAGTAGTACATGTACAGCTCTACAAGTGCTACCTTAAGGTCAACTCTGAGGGCTCTTGTCCTTATATTCAACATGGCCGCATGCGCGCCTAAAAGCAACATGGCCGTGCTGCCAGGCACCAACATGGCAACCAAAGCCCCGTTGCGCCCGGAAGCCCGAGAGAGCGCCAATAAAAAATATGTCCGTCGATCTGCCAACACATAAGATGGAACTTTTTTCAGCTTCAAAGCGAGCGCGAAACCGGAAATGACTTTTCCGCCTAGCGCATTTCCCGGGATCTCTTTCCGGTTAGCCTTAGGGTGTCCGCGTGAGAATTGGATATTTCCTGGAACTCCGGCTGGGAGGTGCTCGTCCGCCGCGCCTGATTCGAGACTTGTTCAAGCTGAGGGGACAGGATGTCGGACACGTGGAGTTCTATCCAGGCCCACAAAAAGCAGCTGGACTCGCTGCGGGAGAGGCTGCAGCGGAGGCGGAAGCAGGACTCGGGGCACTTGGGTGAGGCGCGAGGCTGTCTCGGCCGATGCTAAACCGAGATGGGCGGGAGGGAACCTTGGAGAAAGAGACAGCTCTGGAGTCGGCGCCCTTCTCCAAGCGGCTATTTCTTTAACGCCTAGTGCATTGATACTCTCTTTCGCCCCTCAGCATCACTGACACTTCGCCCTCTTGCAGTAGTCGAGATTCCTTCCCACCCTGTGTTTTGATTCCTCCAGTTCGCTTTCCAGGGACTGACGCCAGGGCCCCACCTTCGTTGCCCGGCTGATGCCCCTTAAGTCTATAAGAATGTCTCGTTTGCTAGGCCTCTCAGCCCTGTCCCTCGAAGCATCAAGTCCCCTCTTTTTGTTGCTCCCATGGCACTTTGTTCTCCCCTCGGTGATAGCGACTGTTTTGTAGTGGTTGTTTCTTTGTGACTGTGGGACCCTGAGAGCAAGCACCGAGCCTTGATATCCACAGGGCCCATTTCAGTGGCCCTCACTGAGTTGCACTCGCTGTTGCTAAATGAATAGAGGAACTGGTATTGTTTCAGTCATTTACATGCCGAGCAGGAATCTGAAAACATTTTTTAAAAAAACTTTTTCTCCCCTCCCGTTGCCCCGTGTGTCAGTCATAAAACGAAGGAACCTCAAAAGATTTTCAGTCCTACCTATCACCTGTTCCCAGCACGAACCGTGAATTATTTAAGGTCAATCTTGTCTTGATACATATCTGGTCCATGCACACATATTTTGGTCCCTGGAACTAGCAGATTCCCTGGCAGGACATTTACACCATAATAAATAAATAAACGTCTATTGAGTTTCTACAGTGTGCGTGAGTCTAGTTAGACAAAACTAAGTATGACATTGATCCTGTCCTCAAAGAGTTTGATGCAATATTTTACATGTTAAATACCAAATGAATGATTCCACAATGAATACAGTGAAAGGAGAAGTTAGGAACGAGTTGGTTTGGTGAGTGAAGGCATCATGGAGGAGTTGGCACTTGGAATTTGGTTTTGACGACTATACAGGACTTATTAGAAGTTAAGAGGACAGGGTGAGTAGAGGAAGAAGTGCAAGACACATGATCAGGAATTATTATTAGTCAGGCATTGGAATTGTTACTGAATTACCCAAGAGGGAGAATATTTTCCTTCAATTCCTTTGACCTCTGGTTGTTGATCCAGTTTTCTCTATTTTTTCTTATTCTTTCATTTATTCTGTTTCTGAGCCTTGTATTTATGCATATCAATTTTAGACAATATAACAATGACATAACTATCACATAGACACGTGACCCAATTGCTTCTTATTTTATCATAAACTCTTACTGGGCTTAAGTATCTCAACTTTTTCAAAAACAGAATTTTGGAAGGAAATGATTAGAGGTTTGTCTGTTACATATATGTGTGTGTTCTTGAAAAACCTTACTTTCTGCAAAAGCCTGCATTTAAGATACAGAGCTTATAGAAGAAATAAGTTTAGAAGTCGTCTACTCAAAACCTATGTAACTTTGTTAGTAGAACCCTTACAGTATTCTACTAAAATTACTAGCATAGTTAAATCTCCACTGGTGTCTTGACCTGTAATGAAAGTCATTCCATCTCCATAGCCTATACCCTGGGATTCCTACTTTTCCTTCCAAACATTAGTCTGTTTTTGTTTAACCAAGGGAAATAACTACAGTTTCTTCATCTGGACTTGCAGCTTCCAAGATAGCTTAACATAGTGCAAAGTGTAGCACTTCTTGAAGCCACCAAACCAGCGTTTGGTGTTTTGAAATGGAACCAATCTGACAACACTGATATCAGAATTGGGGTCACAAACTCATGCCCGGGACCATATATATTTAAAATCTACATATGTATGGTAGACCAAATCAAAACAACAAGAGTAATTGAATTGTGGAGAATTAAAGAGTATATAATTTACCTCATTACATTGTTTATTAAAAATACTCCACTTAATAAATAAAACAGGTCTGTAATACATTATTCTATCTATATACATACATATATATATATATATTTAAAGGCATTTCTGTAGGATTCTGACCTTTTTTTCTTAACATATTCATGTACTGCCAAAGATTTTTCTGTGAGAGTATTTGCCCATGACCACTTTGAATATTAACATGATGAGAAAATCATTTGTGAACCAAGTTTTCCATGTTATTCTGATATTCTTATTTACCAATTACATATGAACTGATTTACATTGAATAAATACATTGTAGCAAAACAGATTGTACTTAGATAATATTTGAGAGAAGTCAGAGAAACTTTTGTTTAATGGAGCCTCTTTTAGAGGTCCATGGAGTGGTCATTGGGAAAGCAGCAGTGGGATGTGGGCCCTCTGGGTAGGTTGCTCCATCAGTAGAAAAGAAGAGGGGCTGATGGTTCTATTCTTACCTAGAAACTCAACAGTTACTACATTTGGACACTAGATTAATCAACTTCACTATGTGTATTTCAATAAAAGGTAATGTATGTAGCCTTATTCTGTCCTCTCCCTATATTCTTCACATGAAGAATATCACTTTGTTTTAGTCTCCTGGGACTCTTTTGCAGTATAGAAAGATGCGACAGCCTTGGATGTGTGCATTTCTTCTAGGGATTTTTTTTTTGGCGGGGAGTGGGGGAAATATTTATTTAATTTTAGTATGGAATAATTTGTTTTCCTTCAGCAGTGGCAATTTAAAAAGAGGACTTGAAAATTCAAGTAGTTGTTTCCTTTAACAAAATGATTTACAAAATTAATTTTTAAAAAACCATCTCAATATACTACATCATTGACAACTTTGTGTCCGGCTATGTCTTTGTCATTTTTGTGAGAGATGACATCTATATGTAGTTTTGTTTGTTTTTTGGTTATACGCAGCATACTTTACACTTATCCATTTCTAAATTCATATTCTTTAGATGGATGATCTATTGTTCTTGGTCATTTTAAGTTCCTCTTCACTTTTTCATGGTTTTAACTTCACTTTGGTATTAACCAAACTTGGTGCCATACGCAAACCTAACCACTAGAGCCTCAATACTTTATCCAGGTCTTTGCTAAGCATGTTTAATAATTTTGACAAGATTGTAAAATTTGAATCCAAATATTCTTTTTGGTTATAACTATCTCTTAACTTGTATGTCTACCTAATAATATATGGTTAAGACTCCTAGTACATGCACCTAATAATATGATTAAGACTCCTATAAAAGTATTTTTGAAGTCGTGACTAAATATATGTTGTCTTGTGTCCTAGGGCTTTGTGAGGCCCTAGGTAAGGCGGGAGTAGGTAGAGATGAATCATACAAATTAATCCAGCCAGTTACTGTTTTTTCAATTATTTTGATTTTTCCAAAGATATTTCTTTGAATGTTAAGAGTCTTAGGAACATATTGTAAAACACACTTTACTAGTTTATTAATCAGATTGGTATGTAAGATATAACACAAGGCTTGGTTAAAGTTCATATCACTCTTTTTTTTCTCACAGGAAATAAAAATTTTCATACCACACCTTGGTTTTTATAGCATTATTGAAATCTGATATTTAATTGTTTACTACTGACCTCAATGTTAGAAGACAAGGATATTAAATGAATGAATGCAAAATAGTATGGACAAAGAATCTGTTGGGAGCTCTTTGTTAACTAGGCATTTTTAAAGTACAACTTTTTAAAAAATTGTGTCAAAGTATGCTACATAAAACTTACCATTTTAACCATTTGTAAGTATACAGTGCAGTAATGTGAATTGGATTCACATTGTTGGGCAACCAATCTTCAGAACTTTTTCATCTTGCAAAACTGAAACTCTACCTATTAAACAGTTCCATATCCTCCTTTCCCCCCAGTTCCTAGCAACCATCATTCTACTTTCTGTTTCTATCATTTGATTACTAGATACCCCATAGAAATGGAATCATAATAAAGCCTTTGTCTTTTTATGACTGGCTTATTTCACTTAGCATAATGTCCTCAAGGGTTATCCATGTCATAGCATTTGTCAGAATTTCCTTTTTAAGGCTGAATATTCCGTTGTATATCTATACCACATTTTGTTTACCCATTTATTCATCGGTGGACGTTTGGGTTTCTACCTTTTAACTATTGTGAATAATGCTGCTTTCAAAAATTTTAGTTAATATACCCAGAAGTGGAAATGCTGGATCATATGGCACAGGTTTCCTCTCCACTATCCAAAAATAGAGTGTTCTTATGAAACTTTTTGTAAGCTGAAATGGCATAAAGCAAAGAAGCAACTACCTTAGGATACATCACGCTCTCACCTTTTTTCATAAAAGCAAAAACCCTCTTTGGATTTCTTTCATTTAGCAAGAATAGGTACTAAGGAAGGTCTTTTCGTAGAAGCAAAGTAGTAAAAGCAAACTTTCAAAAAGCAAGGGATTCCTGTAATTCTATTTTCAATTTTTTGGGAAACCAGCAAACTTTTTCGTAAAGTACAGCTTTTTGTAATGAAGATTATTACCTTAAATAAATCTTTTTTTTAATTGAAACAAAATACACTTGGCCAAGTTTAGCACATGGTAAATATGTGAACTGCTCAGTGTATTCATCTGTGAGACTGAAGATGTGCATATAGATGTTAATATATTTTGGAGGTCAGCAAATTAGTAAGCTGGCCATATTTTTATATCTTCCAGCTAATACTTTGTTTATATGCAGTGGAGCTCTTAACCAAAGAATAAACTCAAGTATTATGTATTACTTTGCTAAACCCAACACATATAATTTTTATTAGATTAGAAACAGTGTCAGCATTGTTACTAGCATAGTGTAAGTAGTCAGTAAATGTACTGAACAAATACTTTCTGAAGGAGTTGGAACCCAGCTGTTCTTAATCCTTTTCTGGACAATAGACCATATTAAGAATGATAAAACATTGGCATCTCTTCCCAAAATATGTGTGTGTACATATTATTATTCACATGTAAAGATTTGCATGTGACTTCAGGGAATTCAGAGTGGCTAAAGCCCATCCATAAATAAATTACATTAATTAGCTGTTAACTTTTCCCACAACATTAAACATGAACCCCTTCCTTCCAATAACCTTAAAAGAGGTATTTTCAGCTCTAGTGTCCTGATTGTCATAAAAAGAAAACTCCCAGGAGGTGTTACTAACATAAGGATTCATGACTAGAATCACATCACCAGGTTGTATTTTAAAAAAGCAATATTAAAACAAGTGATTAGTCAAGTTGCCAAAGAGAAAAAAAAAAAAATCTAGTTCTAGAGATTGAAAATGTATGTTAAAGTGGTTCCTTTTATATAAACTTGTTACTTTAAGAAAAATTATAAATTACTCAAAGAACATCTAAATTCTGTTACAAGAAAGCGAAAACTCTAAAAAGTGTTCATATGATTACATTCTTGATAGTATCAATAGGTTAATTATAAAGAGCCCACTTTCTTGAGCCACAATGAAGTATACAGATGTTGTATTATAAAGTTGTACACCTGAAACTTACATAATATTATTAACCAGTGTTACCCCAATATATTTAATTTTTTAAAAAGCACATTTCAGTTTATTGACCCTAAAATTGGAGCAAAATCAGTCTTTTTCTTAGAGATAATGTCTGATAGAGTGTATAAAGTCTAGAATAAAAAAAAGTCTTTTAGAAATAGCAAATAACATTTATATGAGAAGTTGGTAGAAAAGAAATCAAGAGCGTTAACATCTAACCAAATTTATTGTTATTTTAAATATGATAATAGCAGATGTAACTGTCAAGTGGGTTGTTTTTTTTTTCATTGAACTGTTAGCTCCTTGGCTTTATTTAAAATAAACTCAGAAAATGTTTATCAAAAAAATAATGTGGTATTGCATATTTAAGCCAAGTGTCTCAAGAAACACTTTTTTGTGTGTGTGGCAGTGAATAAGTATATTCCCAAACATAGTTTGGATTAGATTACATTAATAAGAATGTTTCTGAAGTACTGATTGAAAATTTGAAATCATGGAAGTAAATGCTCAGTAATTTGACATTTATTTTAATGATAGCACTCATTTTCTTGTAAGTTATGTGGGCAAGAAATGAGCAAAATATGCAAAATCGAGATGTAACAGGTTTCCAGAGAAGACATACAGATAACTAGCAGGTATATGAAAAGGTATTTAACATCACCAATCATCAGGAAAATGCAAATCACAGTCATAATGAGATATTAACTTCATACTTGTTAGGATGGCTATTATTTAAAAATTAAAAGAATGTGTTGGTAAAGACAATAGCCATTATGAAAGACAGTATGTAGGTTCCTCAAAAAATGAAAAATAGAATTGCCATATGATCCAGCAATCCTGCTTTTGTGTACTCAAAAGAATTAAAATCAGGATACCTGCGCACCCATGTTCGCTGCAGCATTACTCCCAATAGCCAGGATATGTAAACAACCTAAATGTTCATCGGTAGATGAATGGATAAAGAAAATGTGGAATATATATATACAATGGAATATTATTCAGCCATAAAAGGATCCTGCCAGAGTGGACCTAGAAGACATTATACTAAGTGAAATAGACAAAGACAAATACTGTATAATCTCACTTAGATGATATTTGAGATGTAGAATCTAAAATAGATATGGAGAGTAGAATGGTGATTGCTAGGGAATGGAGGATGGGGGTAAATGGGGAGGTGATGGTCAAAGGGTACATAGTTTGTTATGTGAAAAAAGTTCCAGAGATCTACTATATAGCATAATGTCTATAGCTAACAAATCGTATATTTAAAAATTTTCTAAGAGGGTATATCTTACAGTAAATGATCTTACCACACAAATAATAATAAAGGCAGCAGAAGGAAACTTAGGGAGGTGATATATTTATGGCCTTGTTGGTGGTGATTGGTTTCATGGGTGTGTATAACTTTCTCCAAAGTCATTGAGTTGTATACATTAAATATGTACAGCTTTTTACACGTCAATCATACTTCAAAGTAGTTAAAAAAAATGTAATAGGGATTTTTCTATAGGGAGCTTAGTCCTTTATTAATAAAATAAAACTCATACTAAGGACAACAGCATATTACAAGGCGCCTGGCACAAAGTTTGAACATAAGTGTGGGGGGATGGGTAATTTATGGCTTACCTAAAATATTAAAAATTTCAAAACTACACAACAATATGCTAAGTATTGACTTAAAATTTGTAGATAAATCTACATCTTCCTTTAGCTTGTTTCTGTTATCAGAACCTTGAGATAAATAGCTTACATAATTTACTCCCTTTGGCATACTTTATGAGTTATACAGGTCAATATATAATGTATAAAACAATTTGTGGATATAATGCCTGAAATCTTAATTTTAAAATACTTTGTGTTTTTTATGCCTTATTAATGATATTTATCATTGATTGTGCTTAGGTTGCTTAATGAAATAAATTCGGTTACTTCAAAAAAATTTAAAACTTGACTGATAATGTAAATTGTAATTGGAGTATTTTAGGTTAAATTTATTAGACTTGTAGAATCTCTGAATTGCAAGAGACTTCTGTAGTCTTCCAAGTAAGCTGTCACTCCTATTTCTTACATAATTCTTTTACTTTAGGTCAGTTGCTCTCAAACTCTTTCTTATTTAGACCTTCAAAGTGCTTCCATGACCCTTCCATGTGTATAGCACCTTTGCCAAAACAAAACAAGGAACTTTTATCATTTCATCTGGCACAGGTTCTAGTCTCTTAGCAAATAAAGGAATCACAAGTAAGCAAGGTAAAGAAAGTTATGTCAATTATATAATATTTCCAGCTAACATCGAGTTTATTTTCCAAATAGTGCATAATTTATTTTTATAAAATTTAACTGTTCAGCAAGGTATTTGGTGTAGTACAGTTCCATTGTCTTTGGAATTTCTGAGTCAAATTTCACTAAAGTCAGTTCCATTAGAATGGAAATTTCTAAGTAACCAAAATATTTCTAAATGTAAAATAATGGGTCACTTATAATACTTAATTTAGCAGAATTTCCTGAGAATTTAATATTTTATTTGTATTTTAACTAAATAACAGATATTAAGCTTTCCCAAAGGTCATACTTTGTCCTAATTTTAGTTTCTCAAGTCTTATTAAGGTTGTGTTGGCTATTCAGCTTGTGAAGCATTAGAGTAGGTAATAAAAATAGGAAGTATAATCTAGTGACCAGAGCTTCAGCAAAGTTTTTAAAATTTTTGTGTTTGATTTAAAGGTCACACCATTCTAACCTCCAACACTTCCATTTTGATGTCCAGTAGCCTTAATTCGTAAAATTCACACTCCATTCCTCAAAAAGACCTGATCATGGCTTAGGTTGTTGAAAATATTTCTGGCTTTTAAATTCAGGTTGATTATATCAGTGTCATTTAGAGCGACTTGAATGGAGATGATATAGACACTTCTATCTACTATACCACTAATTTATTTCCTTTGAAGCACAGCAAGGACAAGGAATTAGGAAAACACCTCTTATTCAATAGAAGACTGAGGGTTATCTTGGCAAAGTATCTTGAATACTTGAGTATGATTGAGGAAAAGTTATCTAGTGCTAAATGTGGTCAGAGGATTTCCTGCATGAAATGAAAGAACTGTCCTATGAATGCTGGAGAATTTGACTTCTGAGGAATATATAGACTGACAGTGGTTGCCCTTTTGCGTTTTCACTTCTCTTCACTCCTAGATCTACGGAATCCAGAGGCAGCACTGTCTCCAACCTTCCGCAGTGACAGCCCAGTGCCTGCTGCACCTACTTCTGGTAGCTCTAAGCCCAGCACAGCTTCAGCAGTTCCTGAATTAGCTACAGACCCTGAATTAGAGAAGAAGTTGCTACACCACCTCTCCGATCTAGCCCTAACATTGCCCACTGATGCTGTGTCCATCCGTCTTGCCATCTCCACGGTAACAGCCAGATAAGTCAGGTTTGGGATCTACCACTTTTCCTCAGTTCATGGTCAGTGTCTTATTCCCTCCCCTCCTTCCCTAGCCAGATGCCCCTGCTACTCAAGATGGAGTGGAAAGCCTCCTACAGAAGTTTGCAGCTCAGGAGTTGATAGAAGTAAAGCGAGGTCTCCTACAAGATGATGCACATCCCACTCTTGTGACCTATGCCGATCATTCCAAGCTTTCCGCCATGATGGGCGCTGTGGCAGAAAAGAAGGGCCCTGGGGAGGTAACAGGGACTATCACAGGGCAGAAGCGGCGTGCAGAACAGGACTCAACCACAGTAGCTGCCTTTGCTGGTTCTTTGGCCTCTGGTCTGGCCTCTTCAGCATCAGAAGCAGCCAAGGAGCCAACCAAGAAATCGAGGAAACATGCTGCATCAGATGTTGATCTGGAGATAGAAAGCCTTCTGAATCAACAGTCTACTAAAGAACAACAGAGCAAGAAGGTGGGGGCAGATGGAAATGCTTTTACACATATACTTTGAATTGTACCTTGGGTTGAGAGACATTTACCCTTAGGGCAAGGAGCAGTTATTAGAATTGAAGGTTTAGAGCAGTGGTTCTCAACTAGGGATGATTTTGCTCCCCTCTCTCCTGCCGAGGACATTTGGCAATATCTGAAGATGTTTCTGGTTGTCACACACAGGAGTGCTACAGACATCTAGTGGGTAGAGGCAAGGGATGCTGCTAAGCATCCTACAGTCCTAGTAGGGCAGCCCCTACACAACAAAGGATTATCCAGCCCAAAATGTCAATAATGCCAATGTCAAAAAAATAATTTAGAGAATCTTTATCATTAGATCTGTTTGGAAGAATCATGTGATCAAAAGAAGAGTTATCCAAATAACAGAAATAGAGGGAGATGAATGAAGATGAATACTGTAAGATAGTCATATGACCAATAATTATGGAAATTGATTAAACAATGTGAATTGACAATACAGCAGGTCCTCGAATAATGTTTTGTTCAAAGTCATTTTGTTATAAGAATGAGACGCTGTAGGAACTTAACTCTTTATGTCAATTGGCCTATGGTAAAATTGGTTTCTTTATACATCATTGTGCTTAAAGTCACAAATCCTATTGATGACGTTAAGAGAGAACTTACTGTTTAGTGGTTGAGTATAAAATATTGGACACACATGAGTTCTCATCTGTTTGCTACTTATAGCTGTGTGATTTTGAACAAGTTAATTAACTTCTCTTGAGCCTTAGTCTTCTTATCTTTAACGCAAGGAAAACTAGAGTACCCTCCCTTATAGAATCGTTGCATAGACTCTGAGCTAAATAGTAAAGTGCTTGCGCTTTTCCTTTGTTTGGTACCTAATAAATATAAGTGGTTTTAGTGGGCATTATTGTCAAGTGGAATTTATAGAGGTGGTTTAAGGGCTCATTTTATCTACAAACCCTTTTTAGTCCAAGAATTCTTCTGTCACAGGTCAGTCAGGAGATCCTAGAGCTATTAAATACTACAACAGCCAAGGAACAATCCATTGTTGAAAAGTTTCGGTCACGAGGTCGGGCCCAAGTGCAAGAGTTTTGTGACTATGGAACCAAGGAGGAGTGCATGAAAGCCAGTGATGCTGATCGGCCATGTCGCAAGCTGCACTTCAGGTCTCGGGAGTGGGGGGGCGGCGGTCATGAATCTCCAAGAAGCTGCCATTCCTTTTCTGCACATTCCTTCTAGTCTTTGGCGTTATATCTTTAATCCTGTTATTTAATGGTTTTAATATGGTTTGTCTAAGATCTCTAGACTCTGAAGGTATACTTTTATAAGTAGTGTTCTGTGGGAAGGGAGTACTCCCAAATAGATGCGAGGTTTTTTTTTTAATGCCCCTTTCTTCTTGCAATGGCAAGGCATCTCTGTCTCTGAGCCCCAGTGAATGTGGAATGAGGATGATGTTAGGAGAAATAGGACCCAAGGCTCTTAGGTCAGTGTTTTATACTGCTATAACCAGCAAGCTTCCTTCCTTCCTGTCGTAAGATAAGGAAATTATGTCTTTGCTCAGAGAGGAATTAAAACTCCTTTAGTGTGATTTATGGATTTCCATGTCATCTGCCTACCCCTTCTCTGAAAACTCTTGGAGGAAGCTCTGATGATAAAATTGGTAGAGGGTAAAAGACAGGAAATGTTAAAATAGTTTAGACCTTGAACTGTGGGATCTAACTCTGGAATATCATCTTGATTCTGATTCTCCCTTTTTTATTTTCCCAGGCGAATTATCAATAAACACACTGATGAGTCATTAGGTGACTGCTCTTTCCTTAACACGTGTTTCCACATGGATACCTGCAAATATGTTCACTATGAAATTGATGCTTGCATGGATTCTGAGGCTCCTGGGAGCAAAGATCATACGCCAAGCCAGGAGCTTGCTCTTACACAGAGTGTTGGAGGTGACTCCAGTGCAGATCGACTCTTCCCACCTCAGGTACTGTCAGCTCAGAAAACTTTTCTCAGTTTAGGATTTGTATCTGAGTAGGGCAGCCATACAGATAGGAAAGCAGGACATAATCAGTAATTTGTCTTGCTGATTGGGAATGGAATGGGATAGATATGCTCATGAGGGAGTAGGAAAATCAAATGGAAAAGAGGGAATGGGGCCATGAATCAGAGTGAGTAAAAGAAGATGACCAAATACCACCTCATGCAGTGGATCTGTTGTGATATCCGCTACCTGGACGTCAGTATCTTGGGCAAGTTTGCAGTTGTGATGGCTGATCCACCCTGGGATATTCACATGGAGCTGCCCTATGGGACCCTGACAGATGATGAGATGCGCAGGCTCAACATACCAGTACTGCAGGATGATGGCTTTCTCTTCCTCTGGGTCACAGGCAGGTAATGCAGTTCAAAGATATGTAGTTATGGGCAGATATAGTACAGAGTGAGTACTGGGTGGGGATAAAATCCTTGGTTTTCCTAGCCATGCTATAAATATATGATTGAGTGAGCTTTTTTTTCTACTGAGATTTAGAGCCTGTTTATAACAGAAATTATACCTTGAATTCTGTTTAAAGGTAAGGTCATTGAAGATACATTTTCTTTCCATTCTTAGATCCACCCTGTTGCCCAAATGGTGTCTTGCATGTAAATGTTCACTGAATGTCTACTGAAAACACTTAGCTATCTTGAAGGGAGGAAAAAAATATGGACATAGAAGTATCTCTTTATCCCTTATTTCTAGGGCCATGGAGTTGGGCAGAGAATGTCTGAATCTCTGGGGGTAAGTAGCAATCATTGTGTTGCTTTCTTTTGAGAGAAATAAATACGTAATTGCTATAGTTGAGAAATATGTCCTGTTTTTTTAGAGTATTCCTTTTGATTTCTTGCCTCTGTAGATGGTACTGTTCATAAACTGTGAAAGCCTAATTAAGCTCTAGTTCTCTTTTTTATGCCCCACAGTTATGAACGGGTAGATGAAATTATCTGGGTGAAGACAAATCAACTGCAACGCATCATTCGGACAGGCCGTACAGGTCATTGGTTGAACCATGGGAAGGAACACTGCTTGGTGAGCAGCAGTGGGGCTCAATTCATTAGGTGGAAAAAGACAAATTGTTTGATTTTTTATTGAGAAAAAAGTTCACATGCTGGGGATTCATAAGGTAATTTGTTCTCTATGGTGAGCAGGTTGGTGTTAAAGGAAATCCCCAAGGCTTCAACCAGGGTCTGGATTGTGATGTGATCGTAGCTGAGGTATGTGTTTTCTCAGGCATCCAAGGTTTTCACATTTTAATTGGTATAGTTATTCATGTCAAGTATATTCTTATCCCAAGTTCTCTCATTTGGATCATAAACATAAATGGAAAGGGCTAGAATTGCAATTTTGGGTAACTTAAAAGCAGCTAGAGCCTTTATTTCCTAGGTTCGTTCTACTAGTCATAAACCAGATGAAATCTATGGCATGATTGAGAGACTATCCCCTGGCACTCGCAAGATTGAGTTATTTGGACGACCACACAATGTGCAGCCCAACTGGTAAGGTGATCAGAGACCATGCTTGCCCCAAGGGCAAAACTGTTTATAGTCAAGGACAGAAGTTAGTACACCTTCACCTCATATTCTAGTAGTCTGTAAGTGGGATTCATAAGCCACTTATGCTTACATTTAAACTGTTTTACAGGATTCTGCAACAATGGAAATACAACAGGTTTTAGGACTCAAACTACTGCTCTCTAGGGTTTCTACTCTTAAGCAACCTAAAGAGCTTCCTCAGTTATTGTAGTGATGTTTTGAATCTGCCCCCTTGTGGTTTAAGAATCTGTTAAATCTGTCAATAATTTTAATATATTTCATCCTGTTAGTAGAGCTTTAAAAGACATGCTGCTAGCAATTTACTTATCCTAAGAATACTCACTGGCACCAACAACTTTGTGAAGTAGGCCTGGTTAGCCATCAGTTATTAACGCTTAAGTAATACAGGTACTGCCTGTTAACACCAGAATCTGTGCTCTCAATTCCTAACCAGTCATGCTACCCTATATGATACTAATATTAAGTCTTTTAAAATTAATTGGCATGAATATTCGATGAGACAATAGGCAGTCTTAACAAAAGGTATGCATCATTTAACAATATTAAGCCTTTTAATTCCAGGATTTTTGGTTTGCCCCATCTTTCCCCTTGCTTCAGGATCACCCTTGGAAACCAACTGGATGGGATCCACCTACTAGACCCAGATGTGGTTGCCCGGTTCAAGCAAAGGTATCCAGATGGTATCATCTCTAAACCTAAAAATCTCTAGAAGCACTTTGTCACAGAGATAAGCATCCATAGCCATGGCTCTGCAGGCAGCACCTGAAGAGTAATATTTGTACAATAGCATTTTTCCTTATTTAAATAAAAGTTTATATTGTAATTGGGATTTCGAGGTCAAATTTTGGCTTTGCCACTTAACAGTGTGTAATCTATGTAACTCATCTCTCAGTATGATTCTTGATACATAAACTGGGAATATTATTCACCTCATGGGTTGATGTAAGGATTCAAACTAAATGAATGCATGGAAAGCATTAACGTGTTGATTATACAGTACAGGATCAAAGTGATTAGCAGTTAGTACTATATAAACATAGTAATCAAGAAGGGGATTCTCTGGGACAGCATTTCTCAAGGTGAGATTTGCGTTTCACTTAAGGTCGGCATCACTAGGGCTATCATGTTCTAAATATTTCTGTTGTGCTATGTGGCTTTGCCAGTCTCTCTCTTATTCTTTAGCTTGTGTCCAAGAAAAATGAAATAAGTACATTTTAGATTAAATAAGTACCTAGGATGTGCAGAGAATTAACCTATACATATTATGTAAGTGAAAACACCTCTGGCTTATCTTTTAGAAGATATTTCATCAAACAGAAGTGAACACATCTTTAGACTTTGGTGAAACCTTATATTAACTTAAAAATGTTGCGTTCTGCCTTTTACTCTCATAAACTGTGATAACTGAAGTAAGGAGGGACAGTGACTACAGAAATGACATTTGTAAAGAGGAAGAAATAAGAAACTCCTAGGTGATGTTATTGTCCCTACAGCCCAGTATGCCTGTGTTGAAAACCTTTGTTCTCAAAGCAGTGTATAGACATGATAGCAATAGCTCTGTTTAAGAGGTAACTTTTAATCCAACCCTTTATCCCCTTAAAAATGGATGCACACAGTGGTAGGCTCAAAGCTGATGTGTACTCTCTCATAATTTTAATAATCTTTTAGGCAAGTCCTATGACAATTATACCAACAAGTTTCCTCAAACAACCCCACCACCACCACCCCTGTTTTGCTTGTCCATATTCCCTTCACCCTTTGCTCTGCTATCATCACTGGCATCTCTGCTCATACTTGAAAGTAAAAAGCAATTCCAGATTATAGCAAACTCAATGGCCTTGCTCCATAGGCTGGCCCCTTATTGAAGGAAACAAAAGGAGAGAAGCATGAAGGACCATCATGCGTTGAGATCAGGCAGTACCAAAGCCCAACTTGAGTTTTACAAACAGGATCTTGGACATGTTCCTGGCAGATAAATCTTCACTGGCTTGGAGAACAGGAAGGACTATTTTACAAACACCACTGTGTTTGAATTTCTAGAGGCGACCCAGGCCAAGAAGACATCCCTAAGAGAGAAAAAAACATGCAAACTTAGAATTAAAGCTTAGATATATTCTTTTTAAATTCTTGTCTTAAATAGGTTCCCAGTTCATTTCCTGTAGCATCGAGGTGAGACAATATCACTCAATAGGAGTATCAGGGCAGTAAGGACAGGCAATCCTACTTTACTGAAGAGGATTTGAGATAGGAAATACCAATGCCTCATTTTGTGGATGTGGGAAAATCCCAGGAAAATTTGGGGAGAGGGGCAAAATCTTTAGGACCTCTCCCCTACTCCTTCAACACTTAGCACTTGTTGTGCTACTTACCACTTATCCATTCCTCCTCAAATTCTAATTCCCTAAGAGGTCTAATTTGCACTAAAGAGATAAGCTAATATTCAGTCACAAACTACTTAATTCAGTCACAAACTACTTAATGTGTCATCATACACTTAAAGATCATATATAGAGTTAATCATGAACTGCTAATTATGTCATCTTTGTCTATGTGGCAAATGTAAGCTCTTTTTAAGCACGGGAACTTTTCTAATAGCTTTTAAAATGAGACATACATATAGTGACCTGCTCTAAGGTAATAATGATATGCTTAGGGTTACCATGTTTTCCAACAGTTAATTCAGCAATACCTGAATTATAAGAGAAGCTATAACTCACCTGCAGTGCTTCACCACACACTCATTGCTGCAGTACTCATTGTCCCAGTCCTTACTCACAACGGGAGGGTTCTCACAGCCAGACCTCACACATCGAGGCTGGGGTGAGAGTGTCATAGGAGACCCACTCACCAATTCAACATCCATTTGAGAAGGAGACTCAACCTATGAGAGGATGAGAGCACCAAAGATGGATAAGATTTGCTACCTATTTCATCAGCCACTAGTCAAATTAACTCTGGGAGCCAATGGAGCAACAGGTGTTAAAATCCTTCACATTAAGGGGTAATGTTCCGAAAGAAGGTGAGTTCTTGGTCTTCCCTCTATATCCAGCTTTAGTACTTTGCCAAACATACTGACATGAAAATTCTTCCCATCAGGGGAATGCTGGCCATATGCTAGTACACTAGTTGACTCTAACGACTCAGGTTTGATCTGCACTGGTCCACTCATACCTATCCAGATTTACCAATGCAGTTCAAGGGTCAACTGTGTATTTTCAATCTGCTGATGGGAATCAATCTAAGTGGAGAGCCAACTAGTAGTTTTACATGTGCATGGTGGACCACTGCATTCTAATTTTAATCTTACCCATCACTGACTTTATTCCACACTTGAATTAATATTCCTCTGAAAATATCGTATCAAAAGTAAGACACATGAGTAGAGGTTGTGTCACCTTACCTTAAATTGTGAGTGAGGGCTTAGAGAAGATGAAATGTGCCATTAGAAAAACAAGAACTTGGAGATTCAGTTTCCTCCTGATAGCGGTATTATTTATTTTTCCTTATAAAGTATTGCTTCATTAATTGTGGAACTGGTCTCAATAGACCCATATTTTAAAATGAGTATTGGTCATGTACAAGTTAAAACTAGGGTAGCTGGCATCTGTTTATATCTGTTTATTGGACTCACTGGTATGAACCAACTGAATTTTTCTAGCTATATCGCCTATCCATCCCTCCACTAAAAACATCAAGCCAAGCTTCCAGATATAAGAGAAATGGAAAGACTTCTATTTCCAAAGTTAGGATCCTTGGGTAGATAGCGTCAAAAAATAACTCTGGGCTTCAGCTGTATCCTCTCTAGTTGAACTACAGTATTCTGCATGAATGAACACTACAGAGTATCATGGGTGGGACAAGTCACAGAGAACTATCTTTTATAGGATGTTTCATACTGCTGGTTGCTGCCAGGCATTAAAGGCTAGGATAGCAATCCCCATTTTTATTGGCTCAACCAAAAATGCTCTAATACATTTCCACCAGTCTAGAGGAAAGACTTGAAAACAGAGCTCACCTCAGGAACTACGTCTGTGATCATCTCACAGATTGTCTCAGGAGAGGTTTCCTCCACTGTATGGGCCTCAGGGCTGTTGTTCATAGGCCGCTCAGGACTGCTTTCCACAGCTGGTGGGACTAACGTAGTCTGCATTTTCAGAGTGGGTCCAGGCACGATCTTGATCTGCAGAGGAGGTGGCTGTTGCTGTAAATTGATTCGAGCTTTCTGAGGTGGAGGCTGTTGCATGGCCTGGAGTGGGGGAGGCTGCTGCAGAATGGTTACTTGCTGCTGAGTAGGGGGCTGAGGCATCTGTTGCAATGGAGGGGGTTGTAGTCGGGGTGGAGGCAGTTGCATAGAAGCAGCAGCAGCTGCTGCTGCCTGTAAAACTGACCGAGTGACAATCTGGGCTTGTTGACTGGGCTGGATGGTAGCTGTGCTGCTTTGGCCTAGTTGGATCCCCCGGGAGGTCACCACTGTGGCTGGGATAACGGTAACCATCCCTCCTTGAGACATGGTAATAGATGAGGGCAACATCTGTTTGGTAATAATCAACTTGGTGATATTAGGCTGACCCCCAGCCCCAGAAGATGCCTGGTTTGCCACATAGGATGAAAGAGTAGAGTTGACAACAATGGAAGGGGACAGGGCAGGGGGCTCTGTTGAGGCTGGTGCTGGAGATGCTGGGTCAACGGTAGCCACAGGAGGTGGCGAAGGAGTTTGTGATGGTGGCACTGGATCCAACTCCACTGTTTCCACAGTGGCCTAAAAGTACAAAAAAGAAAAATCGTTATTGGGAAATTTACTCTCTTTATCAGGACATAGTTACTTTAATTACTTCCCAAAAGATACATCACAGACTGGAAAGATAAATAAAAAGAAAGGAAAAGAGCTGTTGTGAGTGATACCCTGGCTTAAGCAAACAATGGAAATTAACTCAGAAAGACTGTTTGGCAAGGTTTATGATGGAAACAATAGGAAACTATGTTATATACTTTTAAGCTTTTAATCCTACATAGTATTAAGAGATTCCACAGGATTTTAGTGATATTTACTTATAACTGCTAAGAAACAGCTCAAAAAATCTTTTTATTGGTTTAAATAAATATCCACCTACCCTAACCCTCTTACCTGACACTCTTGATTGTCTTTATAAGCAGCCAGAGCTTTCAGATACTCTTTCTTGGCAGCCTCAGTTTTCCTTTTATACACCTGCAGGAAAAAGACTGTTTAAAAAAGTCCTCATACTCCTAGAAAAAACTGATAATTCTGTTATTCATTAATGACAATTCATCTCAGTCTAAACACTGATAACTCCTTTTCATGAATACACTTCTGAAAGCTAATAATCAGGACAGCGTCCATGGCAGACTTTGCAGTGACCATGCAACCAAAAGCCAGCCAATCAATAAGAGTTGTGCTAGAATAACTACTCTTCTAAAGCTAACACTAACCCATGCCTACTTCTATTACCAAAACAAAGCCTTACTCAAAAACTACAGATCAGTAGCCTGCTTAGCTTGGGAGTGTGTCCAACCAATATACTCTCCCTTAAGGAATGTGTTAAATTGTTTGCAATGATGGCCACAAGATTTCTTCCCATCTTGCATGTCTCTTCATTAAGAGCTGAAATCTATTTCCCCTTTCTTTGAATCTGGGCTAGCTCTATGAATTGCTCTATTAAAATGAGGCTGAAGTGACACAAAGAGACCTTGGGGCATCAGTTTTTGTTCTCTTGGAACATTGCTCTAAGTTTTCCATACTGTAAAGAAGCCAGTCTAGCCTATTTGGAGGATGAGAGGCCATGTGAAGGAGAACCAAAGCATCTCAGCCAACA